CATCAGGACACATGACATGATACAGAGTGCCATAAGATCGACATGAGGTCTTCAGGCAAAATTCAGGAAACCCTCATCCGAGCCGGTCCAACTCTCCGTTGGTGTGTTTTTGATTTTTAAGAGTCATTTTGTAGCAGGTCAGCTTTGGAATCTCATATCGTAGATGCTCCTGGACCCTTCTATGAAAAGCATCGAAAAACGTTGAAAATCAACAATTTTATAAATGAACTTTGATCAGAATGGAGACCATTGTGGAAAAGCCCAAGATTCTTGAAATGTTCCCTATCCATCTTCATCCAATCCCCTTCCGTCTCTTTCCCATTTTGATACAGTGATGCCAGGCCCCACCAGAGCTTGCTTCTGCGCCTGCGCCTGTGGAAGCAGAAGGTCCAGCAGAAGAGGCCCAGTGATGCCCTGTGTGGAATCGAAAGTAGTTGGTTTTGAATAGAAGAAACAGAAGAGAATTTATATAACTGTTATTAACTGTTAATATGTTCTTTTTTTTGGAAGTATACATCTGTCTATATTGACATCTCAGGACATACGGACACATGACCTGATACAGAGATATACAGAGTGCCATAAGATCGACATGGTCTTCAGGCAAAATTCCGGAAACCCTCATCCGAGCCGGTCCAACTCTCCGTTGGTGTGTTTTTGATTTTTTAAGAGTCATTTTGTAGCAGGTCAGCTTTGGAATCTCATATCGTAGATGCTCCTGGACCCTTCTATGAAAAGCATCGAAAAATGTTGAAAATCAACAATTTTATAAATGAACTTTGATCAGAATGGAGACCTGTGTGGAAAAGCCCAAGATTCTTGAAATGTTCCCTATCCATCTTCATCCAATCCCCTTCCGTCTCTTTCCCATTTTGATACAGTGATGCCAGGCCCCACCAGAGCTTCCTTCTGCGCCTGCGCCTGTGGAAGCAGAAGGTCCAGCAGAAGAGGCCCAGTGATGCCCTGTGTGGAATCGAAAGTAGTTGGTTTTGAATAGAAGAAACAGAAGAGAATTTATATAACTGTTATTAACTGTTAGTATGTTCTTTTTTTGGAAGTATACATCTGTCTATATCACGAAAGGTAGCCTAGGCTACCTGAGTTCTATGTACTTTAGTACTAGTTTAGTACTGGGGGAGGTGGCTGCTCCTTTCCCGGAAATTGAAAGCCGAGAGTCACGAACGGAGACTTAGGGGGGGGGGGCCCCCCCCTCCCCCCCCCATTCGATTCCCCCCTGGTCCGCATTTTTTTCTCTCTCTTTTTCTCTGACTCTGTACCTACCTCCTTATCCATCTATCTATCGATATATCTATCTATCTAGTTGTCCATCTATGTATGTATTTATCTATCTATCCTTGGATCTATCTATCTATCTATCTACCTATTGATCTATCTATTTATCTATCTGTTTATCGATCAAGGTAGCCATCGATCTATCTATTTATCGATCGATGCTTCTATCTCTCTATCTATTTATTCATCTATTTATTTATTTATTTATAGTTTTATCTATCTATCTATCTATCTATCTATCTATCTATCGATGTATTGATCTATCGATCTATCATGGATGTTCTAGTCCCATTGAGGCCGTGCCGGGGAATAGAGACTCGCAATGTTTACGTCCCGCACATGCGTGCGCTCGCGCGCGCGGCACCTGCATGCAGGATGGTTCACGCGCGCGCGCGGCGCGCGCGCGCGCGCGCGTGAAGTTACTTTACATTTGACATTATGTTTCTGACTCTATTCCCACAAAGCTTTTTTGGGGGCTAACATTTTCTTCTGCAGGAGGTTTGAGTGAAGAGAAGTATCAATCTCAGTTTGGCAATATTTTTCCTGTTGCTCTCTTTTGCCCCCCCCTACCTTTCGTCCCCCCCCTCTCAAGTTGACATCTCAGGACATCCGGACACATGACCTGATACAGAGATATACAGAGTGCCATAAGATCGACATGAGGTCTTCAGGCAAAATTCAGGAAACCCTCATCCGAGCCGGTCCAACTCTCCGTTGGTGTGTTTTTGATTTTTTAAGAGTCATTTTGTAGCAGGTCAGCTTTGGAATCTCATATCGTAGATGCTCCTGGACCCTTCTATGAAAAGCATCGAAAAATGTTGAAAATCAACAATTTTATAAATGAACTTTGATCAGAATGGAGACCATTGTGGAAATGCCCAAGATTCTTGAAATGTTCCCTATCCATCTTCATCCAATCCCCTTCCGTCTCTTTCCCATTTTGATACAGTGATGCCAGGCCCCACCAGAGCTTGCTTCTGCGCCTGCGCCTGTGGAAGCAGAAGGTCCAGCAGAAGAGGCCCAGTGATGCCCTGTGTGGAATCGAAAGTAGTTGGTTTTGAATAGAAGAAACAGAAGAGAATTTATATAACTGTTATTAACTGTTAATATGTTCTTTTTTTTGAAGTATACATCTGTCTATATTGACATCTCAGGACATACGGACACATGACCTGATACAGAGATATACAGAGTGCCATAAGATCGACATGAGGTCTTCAGGCAAAATTCCGGAAACCCTCATCCGAGCCGGTCCAACTCTCCGTTGGTGTGTTTTTGATTTTTTAAGAGTCATTTTGTAGCAGGTCAGCTTTGGAATCTCATATCGTAGATGCTCCTGGACCCTTCTATGAAAAGCATCGAAAAATGTTGAAAATCAACAATTTTATAAATGAACTTTGATCAGAATGGAGACCATTGTGGAAATGCCCAAGATTCTTGAAATGTTCCTTTGTTTCTCACCCATCCTTGTTCCATCTCCTTTTATCTCCTTTCTGTGGCTCTGACAAGTGAGATGTTGAGATGTATGAGTATAACCCACATGTAACCACAAGCCAACGGCACATTCCGCCAACAAGTGATGATGTTGCCGGCCGTAGGCGCAACCACAATGCGATGATGAGGAAGAGGACATGATTTCATCGTTGGGGACTGCTGTCGGTCCAGCGCAATCAATGCTCGAGACCACCGTGGATGTGATGACGAAGCCAGGTGAGAAGGAGCTCTTTGGCAATGGTGGGTCAAGCGATGAAGGTGATTCTGACAAGGAAGACTTGGACCCAATGACGAGTCAGCTTATTGCGCCTTTGTTGAGTTCAGACATGAGCATCTACAATTTGTAGGATGCAGTCTTGTGAACAGTCATTTTGTAATGATAAGGCAGGTTGAAAGTCTGACATGCTTCGGCTAATGCCAACAGAATGATAAGATTTGACAGCATGATGCCAGAAATGTTTCGGGCAAGATGGCATGAGAATGCGTAATACGCAACATAACTTTAAAATACATGGCTTCTGGATTCTTCTGGTGCAAACATGTGCAAACATGTGCAAACAGTCAAGGCACAATATGCAAAATGTTGCGAGAAGCAAGGCTTCTATCTGGGCATCCTTGATTTGTGCTTGCTTTCGATTGGGTATGGCAAAGAGCTTGCAGTAATTTACTGGGACGACGAGACCTCTGGGGAGCCAGTGGTTCGCAGTGGGGTGGACATCATGGAGCAATTTGTTCCTGATTTTGTAGTTTGGGAAGGGCCACACAAACCAAACCTAGCATCGGAGCATGTATGGGTTTTTGCAGCTGTTCGAGCAGACTGGAAAAGAGGATCTTTCCGCCAACTCAACCACTTCATCCCAATGTTTTCGAAGGAGCAGCTGGAACGGTGTCAACAAGGCTTGTTCCAAACGAGTACGCAGGAAGCCATCTCCAAGCTCGACGCCAGCCTGCGCAAAACTCGCAAGCGCCTGGATGATGAGTCTGATGATGACTTGACTGCATCTTTGAATGATCGATTGGCCTTGCTCAACTCCAAGGCTGACTTCTTCCAAACCATGCACAACATGAACTTTCATGCTCTTGAAGTTCCAGCTGACGGTGACTGCGCTATCTGGAGTGTACTCACTTTGTTTGGAGGGCCAGTCATTGGGCGAACTCTGAAGAAATCTTCTCACATGATTGACTTGAGACAGGAGTCTTGCTTGGTCATTTTGTAGGTTGTTTTTATGATCCAATCAGTCTGTAAGTATCTGTATTTAATATTGTTTGATAATTTTTGGTGCGGGGACGTATGGCATGGACCTTGCTATCCTTGGCAATCCTTGGTTCACAGACACGCTGAGGGATCCTGCATGCCCTGTGTCAGGAGCTGTCGTCCCTGTGGATGAGACGCAGAAACAGCAAAGCGTGGCAAACATTGTTCATGTCCATGGGCTTGCAGGAAGAGTTGTCTCCTCAATGTCATCAAGCTGCAGTTGCTGCTGCCGAGCATCAAGCTGCAGTTGCTGCTGCCGAGCAAATGGATTCGGCAGAGAAAGAGGCCAATGATGAGGACCTTTCTGGAATTTGAAAAGGGCGTAGTAAGGGATGATGAGGGATGACAAGGGCTGATGAGTTGATAGGGGCTGAGAAAATTTGCCAAGGATCTTGGTTAACTCTTTGTAAGAGAGACTGAGAGACTGTCATGAACTTCATTTTGTAGCAACACTGCCATCGTGGAATAACATAAGGGAATGCCTGACAAGGCTAGGAGCCCAGAGAAATTCAGGATTTCTTGCGTCCCTGGATTCAGGATGGCATCCCGGTCACACCTTTGAAGAAGAAGCCTGGTAGCCCCAAGCAAGCAGCTTCCAGCAGCAACTTGTTGTCTCCAGTCAAATCGCAGATCTGTCCCCGACGAGTCCGAGAAAGTCGACCAGCTTCGTTTGGTCAGGTCAAGGCTCCTGAAAAGATGCTACGTCCAGCCAAGGGGCCACTATTGCAACCAAAAGTTGAAGGAGACGAGGCAATGCAGATTGTTGCGAGGGATGAGAAGGCGTCAAAGGATGACCTCGACATAGATTCTGAGTCAGAGGACAAGGGTGGGATGTGATATGACTCATGACTCCTGACTCCTGACTCAATCTCCTAAAGATGATCCAAAGATTGTTGTTTCCGGTTGCATTTTGTAGCAATGAATTAAGTTAACCTCATGTTGTAGGCAATACGCAGGGATGCCCTGGGTGCCTCTAAGTCTCGTTGCCTTAGGAGGAGGCTGATGGCACAATTGTCCGCAGAAAGCACAAACGTGTGCAGAAGAAGGCTCCGCCCAGTGAGTCACAGCAGCGCCACCAAGCTGTGAAGAGGTACCTCACCAAAATTCTGCTTGACTGGCCTTTTTTCCAGAGGATTCACCGGAGGCCGGGGTGTTGAATTTTTTGGCACCCTTTGGATCCCTTTGGATCCCTTTGGCATATCTTAACAACTCGATTGCATTTAAAATCAGTTAAATATACAAAATTTTGTTTGAAATGTTTTTGCATCCCTCAACAAAGTACTGAATGTGGTTCGCTTGAGCTTTTTGTAGAAGACATTGTTGGGAACCTCTTCTTGTAGAGTGACAGCTTGCAGGAAAGCCCCGATGAAGAAAATCAACTGGTGTCCTGGGAAAGGGTATGTGGAGTTCCAAAAGCTTCTTGCAACTGGAAAACAAATTGAGTGTGAAGTTTGCAAGGAAGCGATGGAGGAATGTGGCTTTGATGCAGAAGAGTTGAAGAATGAGGTAGAATCAGCGCTTGCAGGAGACAAGGCTGCTCCGGCTGAAGGCAATGTTGGCAATCCTGAGCAGTCAGATGGGCCTCCTGCAGCCAAGAAAAGAAGGAGGGGCCCAAGGTCAGAAGTCCAGGATGTTTGGAAACGCGAAGAAGATGCAAGAGCTGCAGCCAAAGTGTTTGAGCCACATCTTGTTCTTCTACCTCTGGGAAGTCACAACAAGAAGGTACCTTATCGCTGTTGGATTTGCACCAGCGTTAAGCAACCAGAAGGTAAAGTGGGTGAATGCAAGCAGATGACCCCTGGATCAGTTCGGCATTTTATGCAGCAGCATGTTGACTCCGAAGGTCACGAAAGATCATTGAGGTCAGGGGGAGGATGTATTCAGGAACATCCTCGCAATTCTGTTCCATGTGAAGCAATTGACCTTGCTCATCCCATGGAGGGCAGTATCCTTCATGTCCACAAAGCGGAATTTGGCTTGTGGGCCTCCTTCGCCAACCTGGAAGCCTCGGCCAAACATGAATACTGGAAGGATGCAAATACAGCTTCATGGCATGTGAGATCACACAGTTGCAAAAAAACTGTCGAGGAGAACCAGAACAAATCCCGACAAGTGTGTGACGAATGTTTCAAGCTGACGAAATCCAAGTCTATAGTCAGAA